GGGTTGAACTAGATGACCTTTAAAGGTCCCTTCCAACCCAAACTATTCTATGATTCTATATAGCTGTTATTAGCATATCATTACTTCAAACATATATGTTGCTATAGGATAAATGTATAGGGCCTTTACTTGTTGCTAATTATAGCTTGGTTGCCATCTTTTTTCACATCGCTTATTACAATGATGCAATTACGTTATGTTTACTGGAATAGAATGAATAAATAGATATAACATTTGAATTTGAGTGGAGTCTTAGCTGGGATGCCATAACACTGGAAATGAAGCAAAACTATCAAAAAAAAGTATTAATACTTGTTTTCTCTCATTTTAAAATTAGACTTTTAGTCCCTCTATTTGTTGTTATTCAATTTAGAAAAACTTGTTCTTAGAAAAACTTGGTCAACAAAGACACTGACTAGAATTTCATTAAGCCCTATTCATTTTACAGCTATTACCAAAGGAAATTTGCTGTTAAGGCCATTAATTTTGTGCAATACAATAAATATTTCAAGTTATAGTTTGGACAAATCAACAGAACTCTTCCAGGTAAATCAAGGCCATAGTAATATGTGGAAGTGCAGTGTTCATCTGGTTTTATATCTGCTGGAAAGGACAAAACTGAAGATTTATGTTTATCCTGTGTAATGAAAATGTGTGATTCTTGCCTTTAATATGAGTGCAGGAGGGATTTCACCCATCAACTTTATTTTAGCGATGATGTTTATCTTACTTTCTTTTCCATCTTTTTTTGAATTCTTCAATTAATTCAATACATTTCTGTTAAAAGTAAAGAATCTATTATTGACTATGAATGATTAATTATTGTTATTAATTCTGCCAGTTTCTAACAGGATGGTCTTGATCAAGGGAAACAAGAAGGCTTATGTTAAAATTAAAATATAATACCTTTGAATATGAATAGGTTTCTTTTTTAAATTGGGATTTAAGAAGTTAACATTAATTTGTTAATTTGTTTTGTTAACGCTTCAAATCTCTTGTGTCTTTCTAGATAGCAACGCTTCTCTTCCAATTTTGTTATGCCTTCAGGTTGAAAAGGTCTGCTTCTAAACATTGCAGTAGAATTTGAGAGGATAGCAAATTGCAACACCTGGGTTATACTGCATTATACTTATTATGAAATGAAACATTCTGCAGTCTGAAAATGATAAATGATTGCGACTAATTTCCCTAAAGCAGTCCTTCAAAAAGCGAGTGCTGAACAATTCCCATCATCTGCATCTATCTACTAATTCCTTTCCCTAGATAAATTTAATAATTATGGGCTACGTATCTGCAGATCCAAAACAAAATATCTTTGTGAATATGACAGAATACAGTATGTCCCCAAATTGGAAATACCTGGTTTCATTTGGCAGTGAATCCTGGCTCCTCTGAAATTAATGGGAATTCTCTCCTTTGCATAAATAGGAATAAGAAACAATTCTTTGTGTTTTATTCTGAGGGGAAGTATAGTCATGCCTATGGTCATGTACATGTGATTCAATATTTTAATCTGACTTGGATTAGTATCACACTTTCTACACTTCTAGAAAAGGTTATTTTGTCTTACTTAAATATCAAATGTCTCTGTCTTGGACTCCTTCCCCACATGCAGCCGAAGTTTGAACTTTGTGTTTGGCAAGTTACTTTTAAGTTCAAGTGACTTGCTGGTGAATTTCTGAAATGTATTCTCAGTTTCTGAAATGTAGCTCAATCAAAGGTCAGCATAATAACTCCAAACAAATTCAGAGTGTCTTGAATGAACAATTGTCCAAGAACAAATTTAGCTAGATATCCATTTTGGCTATTTCAGTTATCCTCCTTTTTTTCAGCTGCTCAGTTTTATTGAAGGGGAGCTAGAATACAGCAGATATTCTCATAATATCATTTTAGTAGCAGTGGCAATTAATGAATTATTCGTATGAATGTTAAGACATCAGAAATGGAATGAGATTTGGCTTGTTTGACAATGAATAGGCCAGCAAGTATTTGCAAAACTATGTTTCTAAAAAAGCCCCTGTTGTTTGAAATTCCCTGTTTTAGAGAATTAACACCTTGACTGAAAAGTACAGAGCCTTTTCTGAAAGTGCATAAGGTATAACTTCCTAATGG